CAGAACCCGATCGCTCTCATCTCCCTACCCGCTCTCTCTCTGCTTATCATCATGTCTGCCTCGTCTTCCCCATCTCTCGGCGACTTCATCAACGGCGTCGAGAAGCTGGACTCGAAGGGAAAGAACTGGATTGTCTTCGAACAACAGTTCACGGTTGCCGCTCGCCAGAAGGAGGTCTGGGACCACTTCACCGGCAAGTCGACCCGTCCCACGCCTGTCGAACCTCCTGCGCCCGCTGCGCCCGCTCCACAGCCCACACCTGCCCCGCCTGCTGCGCCTGCTACAGGTGCTGCGCCTGCTACGCCCGCGGCGCCGCCCGTTGCACCCACGGAGGATGAAGCGAAGCCTCCCGTTGTCGACGAAGCTGCCGTTGCGGCCTGGGAAAAGAAGGAGAACCTCGCTTTGTATCTTCTCATGCTCAAGATCGCGCCGGTCACGTATGCGAAGCACAAGCGCAAAGGCACCGTAGCCAAGATCTGGGCTGCGATCGTGGCCGAGTTCTCGAGCAAGTCACTTCTCGCCTGCTCGAATCTCCGTCGTGATTTCTTGAACATGAAGTACACGCCGGGCGTCGACCTTCACACCGAGTTCGACCAACTTCGCCTTGCGTACGAGAACCTCCTCACCTTCGAGATCAAGGTCCCCGACACCGAGTACGCTTCAGTCGTCATCAACTTCCTCCCCGCCGACCTCTCCTCGTTCATCTCGCAAATCTCCGCCCAGATGAAGCTTCATCAACACTTCAATGCGATCACGTCAAAGGCGTCTACAGACGACGACGACGACGACGTTGACAAGGCCATCATCGACCCGGAGATGATGATGGACATTGTGTTGGAGGAGTGGGACCGCCGCGAGCTCGATCGCAAGGGGAAGGGCAAGGGCAAGGACACCGGTATCGCAGCCAGCGTCGTCTCGACTGAGAAGCCGAAAGGCGGCAAGAACAACGGCCGTGGTCCACGCAAGCCCGTCGGCGTCTGCTGGACGTGCGGCGGTAAAGGACACAAGGAGGCGGACTGCCCGAGCCCGAAGACTGACAAGGGCAAGGGGAAGGAGACGCAGCGCTGGGACAACTCACGCACCCCGAACGCCGCGCCCAAGCCTGCGCCGGCCCCTGCCGCCGGTGCCGCCAATGTTGCGACGACTGCGCGCATTGAAGAGATCGGGCACGTCGATGGTGCCTGGCCTGCGATCCCATCCGTCTACTTGCAGCCGCAAGTCGAGACAGACAGCGAGTCTTCGGACTCGGACGACGACGCCTGGTCTGCCGCTGGAGGGTCCGCCTATACGGAGCTCACAGAGTCTTCGGCTGACGGCATGCCCTCACTCCAGACTGTCACTGCATCTGCGTCCGTCGTTTTGTCTAGCCGCCCGCCACGCTACGACGACCTCGAGTCTAGCTCGGAGGATGAAGAGGACGCCCCCGCACTGGAACATCTGCCGTATCCGGAGCGCATGAAGAATGTAGTCGACTGGGTCAACACTGTGTTCGGGCGACAGAGCGAGGGTGACGACCCTGCTACGCTGAGCGCTGCTGCGCACACGCCCGACGCCGCTTCTGCTGCGGCCGACCGACCTGTGGACCTCTACGACTCTGGGGCGACACACCACATGTCTCCGTTCCGTGAACACTTCGAGACGTTCACGGAGACTCCTGCGCAGTCGCTCAATGCCGCAAACCAGCAACAATTCCACGCCACGGGCATCGGGAGCATGGTGATACCTGTCCCGAATGCGCCGTCCGAGGACACCCGTATTCGCCTGCAGGACGTCCTCTACACCCCTGCTCTCGGTTTCAACCTCGTCTCAGTTGGCCGTATCGATGATGCGGGCTATGCCGCGACCTTCGCCGACAGCCAGTGCACCATTTCGGACGCAAATGGATCGACTGTCGGGCGCATCCCGAAGACTCGAGGGCTGTACCTCGTTGTGCGGGAGAATGACGCCCCCGCAGCTCACGCCGCTACTGCCAAAGTCGACAAGCTCACGCCAATGCAAGCCCATCGTCGTTTCGGCCATGTCGCCATTCGCACGATTCGGGAGCTCATCTCTCGCCGCTTCATCACTGGGGTCGAACTGCTGCCGCCCGAGCCGGGCGAAGACACCGAGTGCGAAGCATGCATCCGCGCGAAGTCCACGCGCAAGCCTGTGCCTACCGAGCATCAAGGCGGACGTGCCACTGAGCTCGGCGAAGAGATTCACTCGGACCTCTGGGGCCCTGCTCGAGTCTTGACACTGGGAGGTCGCCGGTACTATGTCAGCTTCACCGACGACTACACTCGCTTTACAACCGCCTATCTCCTGCGCCAGAAAAGCGAAACTTTCGAGTCTTTCTGTGCGTTTGAAGCGTGGCTGGACAAGCATCACGGCGTCAGCATTCGCTTCCTCAACACGGATCGAGGCGGCGAGTATCTCAGCGACAAATTCAAGACGCACCTCGAGCAGCACGGTATTGAGTACAAGCTCTCCGTGCACGACACGCACGAAGAAGCTGGCGTCTCCGAGCGTCTCAACCGCACCCTCATGGAGAAGGTCCGCGCAATGCTGATCTCGTCGGGCCTTCCGCGTTTTCTCTGGGGCGAAGCTCTCATGCACGCTGTCTGGTTGAAGAACCGCACCGCAACAAAGGCGCTCAAGGGCCGCACTCCGTTCGAAGCGGCGACCGGCTCCCCTCCGAACCTCAGCAACGTCCCCGAGTGGGGTGCGAAGGTCTGGGTTCACGACACCGCTGATGGCAAGGTTGGTGACCGAGCCAAGGCGGGACGCTGGGTCGGCTTCGACGCGACGACGCCCAAAGCAAGGGCCACCGGATCTACTGGCCGGAGCAGCGGATTTCGGTGGAGCGTAACGTGCGCTTCACCAAGCCTGACCTGCCCGTCTTCGAGTTCGACGATGCTGCCGAGCTTGAGGGGGAGGATGGGCGTGAAGTCAAGTCGACTACGCCGTCTGAACCTGCCGCAGACGAGCCCGTCAACTCGGACGCAGACACTGACACCTCCGACGTGCCCATGCAGCCTGCTGATCCACTGCCGCCACCTCCTGCGCCCGTACCCGCACCCGTGCCTGCGCCGTCTCGCCCGACGCGTGTACGCAACCCGTCTGCGAAGGTCAAGGCCATCTTGGCCGGTCAGAGCGTCGACAAGAAGCTCCCGAGGGGCGTGGTCGTGCAAGACAACGCTCCGAACGAGCCGCTCGTGCCCGAGCTCGTTGAGGAGATCGATGGCTTCGCAATGGCTGTACAGATGGCGGACGTCGGCGGACGTCGAAGGACTCGACCCCCGCTCGCTCGAGGAGGCGAAGCGGCGGCCCGAGTGGCCGCGTTGGGAGGAGGCGATGCGAGAGGAGATGGACGCGCTCGAAGCGCATGGTACTTGGCGTCTCGAGAAGCCGCCGCCCGACGCTAACATTGTCAGCTGTCGGTGGGTGTTCCATGCGAAGAAGGACGCCTCGGGCAACGTCTACAGGTACCGTGCACGCCTGGTTGCTCGCGGATTCTCGCAGATACCTGGCATCGACTTCTTCGACACCTACGCACCCGTTGCGAAGACCGCTTCGATTCGCACTGCACTCGCCTTCGCTGCTCGCCATGACTTTGAAGTCCACCAGCTCGACGTCAAAAGCGCCTATCTCAACGGTGAATTTGAAGAGAACGAAGTCATCTGGATGGCGACGCCACCTGGCACGCAGCTCACAAAGGACAAGACACTCGCCCTACGCCTTCTTCGACCGCTGTACGGCTTACGACAGAGCGCGCGGCACTGGCACAAGAAGCTCCTTCGTGTGCTGCAAGCGAAGCTTTCGATGTCGCAGTGCGACGTCGACCAGGCCGTGTTCTTCCGTGTTGCGGGCACTGACCTCATCGTCATTGTAGTCCACGTCGATGACCTCACCGTGGTCGCGTCGAGCACCGCTCTCATCGCTGAGGTCAAGTCGAAACTTTGTGAAGTCTTTGAGATCTCCGACGAGGGCGAAATCCATTGGATCCTCGGCTTCTCGGTCGCTCGTGACCATACGAGCCGCCGTCTTTCGCTCTCGCAGACGTCCTACATCGAGTCCATCATCCGCCGCTTCGGGCTCGAGGACGCGAAGCCTGTCTCGACGCCGATGGATCCACACGCCACGCTCAGCGCCGCCCAGTCCCCGAGCACCACCGCCGACATTGCTGCGATGCGGGACGTGCCGTACCGCGAGGCGGTCGGTTCGCTTATGTACGCGTCTCTGGGGACACGTCCGGACATCACGTACGCTGTCGGCATCCTCTCGCGCTTCTCTGATAACCCCGGGCGCGCTCACTGGGAGGCCGTTCGCCGCGTCTTTCGGTACCTCTCGGGCACGAAGCACTTGAAGCTCACGTACGGTGTGACCACCCTCGACCTCGTCGGCTACACGGACGCTGACGGCTCGATGCATGAGGACCGCAAGGCGATCTCAGGCTACGCCTTTCTCATCGACGGCGGGGCCGTTTCGTGGAGCTCGAAGCGCCAAGAACTAATTTCGCTCTCGACGACCGAGTCGGAGTACGTCGCCCTGACGCACGCCTCCAAGGAGGCCTTGTGGCTACGCTCGCTCATCGGGCAAGTCTTTGCGCCGTTCGATGTCTCGGTTCCCCTCCACTCCGACAACCA